GTAGTCAGACATGGAATGTCTCAAAGAACATGTTGACATTTGGGATAAGGATTATGGAGTCATCATAAACGAGTGCCTCTGCTGTGTGTCACTGTCGCTGTTGACTTTGCTCTCAGATTGGGACTTGTGTTGCAGGACTGCGCCAGGCCCCATGTCTGTGCCTTCCTTTTACACTTTACAACTCATAGCAGAGTTGAAGCCAGTTGAGGCTGGGATCCATGTGGATTAAGTCAGAAGTTCAAAATACGCTGTCAGTCTACAGAGGCCTCCTCCTTACCCCAGCTCAAAAGCGTACTCATTCTAGTTATACTAGCACCATTATTGAATTTGTAGCTAATGTGGAGTACTTTTCACACTTCTGTTATATGGTTTGCAGGTTTTTAGAGTGGAACAGATAAATAGTACATGTGAATATGTGTTAAGTCTTGCCAGCCCATCTTTCATTTACTCAAGAGGCTAGTTCATCTTTCACTCCTACTCTCTTTCCTTTCCTCTCCTCCACAATCCCTTCATCTTTCTCCACCTCCTTCCCTCCCTCTCATCCCTCATTTCCTTCCTTGCCTTCCTCTATCTCTCCCTCCCTCTAATCTACTGCAATGACCTGAAGGAGGGCTTCACACTGCAGCGCTCAAATAATAATCAAGCACTAGGATGTTGTCAAATTTATAGGACACTGAGCGTTGCATAGCAACAGAGATTGCCAGGGTGATCCAACAAGCGCTGGAAGTTGGGTGAGGGAGAAATGGGGCGAGTGACAGGAGACAGGAGAAGGATGGGGAGACGACAAGAAAAACCAGAGACAGGAGAGAGGGATGAGATGAAAGTAATAGAATCATGATATTATACACAAAGAAAGAGATAAATGAGAGATGGAGAAATAGAAAAGGAAATGAGAAAGTTAAGGTTGGCTTAGCTGAAAGAAAAGGTTTACTGACTCTGCTGGCTGATCTTGTGTGCTTGCCATTCTGTGATAATTCAAGTTATAATTATCACTACGATGTCATATTTTACTATGGCATTCTGGCAAACACAAGTGGTGTTAAGTTTCAAAGTGGCTTGAATGTGGCAGCGCAAAATAGCTGTTTAACCAGTGGTCAAAGTCCAACAGCAGGCTGCTCTTTCACTCTCGCTCGTCGCTAAAATCCTCATACATCAAGGAAAACAATTATCTTGTTTTGTTGTCCCATATTTCTCATGTTTCTCACATTGCCTCGGATTTTTTTGAAATCCTCAGTTTCAGTTTGCTGTTCATCCTTGTTGCCTAGAGACTGCTTTGGACTGCAGTTCACCCCTGACATGTACCTTTCTTTTGGTCTTGTGTCTGTACCTTGTTCACCAAGAAAAAAAATATATAAATAGGACAAAATTACAATACAGCTTTGCATAAAGTTGCAGAATCCCTGAAATTTGCTCTTGGAAATTTAGCTTTTTTGACGAACATATTATTAAACTAGAAAAATCATTGAAATGCTGTCAATGTTGACAAAAACATACAGATTTTTTTTTTTTTTAGCATCAAATGTATCCCCTCTGCTCTCTGAGATGAAAAATTTGGTAATACAAAGTTCAAACAAAGACAAACTTCTTGCCAGAGGGACCTTTTGTGACAAAAGGGGCATTTTATTATTTCATTACTGTAAATGCGCTTAAACGGTGAATTAAGTGTTTTCATTTGAACATTGCATATCCAACAGGAAAGGTGGTTGCAACATAAACACAAAGCATGATTAAGCTGAATATATGATATGATGTTTTTGTCCTGATAGTTATAGAATGAAGGCCCAAAAATAGATGTTGATATTGGTATCCGTCTGTAACAAAGTTAGTTTTTAGCTTGTGCCTATAAGCATTTATCGTTTTCTGCTACAACAAACCAATAAACTGTTTTTAGTAATGAAGAAAAAAATCTCTAACATGACTGAAAATTATTATAAAATAACTTCAATTCAAAATGTCAGAGTATCCCTTTAGTTACAGTTTTATATTAGTCTAGGAGGTCCAAACATGACATTTAGAATTGATCAAATCATTGAAATGGCATTCATTCATAATTCTACTTAAAACCCTGAGTTAATATTCTAAAAACCAGCATTTGTTGCTGTAGTATTTGGGTGTTCACGGGCACCACGGTGGTTGCTGCATCTTGATTATCTCAGTATTCCAGAGCCACCATGTCCCTTCAGAGGCAGTTATCTCGCTGTGTCACTGGCAGGTGTTTCAGTTTGGAGAGTCAACTGAGTGCAAACGGTGATGACAGCTGTGCTCCGGACTAATTATTTCTTGTCACTGTGCACAGATTCGTTGGGAATGGCGTGCTAACCAGAGGTCCTCTGGGCAGAAATGTGTCAGTCTGACCCCAAGGTCACCTGTTGTAGTCTTTTTTAATGAATTGCTTTGCTGTGAAAATGAGTGTCTGGGCCGTCATTGTTTATAAATACTGAATGAATATGTTATCAAAGAAGAAAAAACTCTGGGCTAAACTACACAGTTGAACATAGCTGATACTGAGAGGTGTAGCCCAAATATTAGAAATGCGATTCAATTCAGCAGCACCACAAGTGTCGGGGCCCAAATGACCATAAAGTTCAATCAGCACCAGTTTAAACTAAAACCCTCCCATAAAGGTACAAATTATCATAATAAAGGTAAGATTCAGAGCACGGCCATTATATTACATTGCATTAGTAGGTAGGTGTACCTAAAAAACTGGCAAGTGAGTATAAATGCAGTCCGACTGCCATAGAAGTAATCAAAGATTGAAATATATTAGTATTTCTTTTCGTGAGCAGAATGATATTTTTTGAAACCTCTCCTAAACGGTTGGTTCAGATGTGGAAATGAAGTTCTAAGCAAAATCATACCACCTTTTTAAGAACCATTTTATAACTTGTAAGTAACTGTGCAAGTAAGGTGCAGGCCCAGAGGTAATGATATGGAGTTTACCCCAGATCATCATTTAGTTGTTCTGACTTCATTTGTTGAGAATTGAGATCTAGAGTACTACTATTTATTTAGATGATAATATGCAAATACATGGACATAAAATTAGTATGCACTTTGCAGTTAAGAGATTTAAGGGCAAATGTGGAGAAATAATTTTGAAAACTGAATAATTCATGACCTGTTCGGAATAATAGCATATGAAATATTCATTAGCTAAATTACTTATCTGTATAATCTGCTTTTGTTGTCGGGTTCAGGGGGGAAAGGATGGCAGCAGGGGCTAAGGCTAGAAACAAACATCTGATCATTTTGCAAACGTAGCAATGATTCTCTGTCAGCCTATTCATTATGATAACCACCCTCATGAAACGCCTTCTTTGTTTGTGAGAATTAGACCTTTTAAACAAGTGTGATGTGTTTTGAATCTACATATTGCAACCTGATGCGCAAGCGCTTATTGAATACTGTGGCTGCCACTCTGTCTGCTCTTTTTGTGCCACAAAGTAATCAACCTAAGTTACAATTCAAAGACATTATTGCAGTAGAATTTAATGTCAGTCATTTGAAGTCAAGGATTTTAAGGTTTAAAGGTGCTGTTCCTACACAATGACGCAATTCCACATCTTCCAGCTCTTCTTGACGTAGCGCTCGTTCATACTCACATTAAAGCACATGTAGACTCGGAGCTGCATTAACACCGATGATCAAAAGACGCTGGCCGTGGCTGCGTTGGAACATCAAACAGTATGAACAGAGGAAAGCGTGCAATTCCCGAGAGTAGGCACAAACTGGTTCCATTGTGTCATTATTAAGGTTAATATTTACTGTACTACACCCTGGCTTTTTCTGTTTTCATCGTCTTGTAATCTGTGTCCTACAAACAGAGAAACGCTGCATACAAGCATGAGCACACAAGCAAACAGATGATTAAAAGCTGTAGTTCTCAGTTAAGTTCCTTCCTTTGTCTTTGTTGCAGGCAAAATGTACATGTCAAATGCGACCCACTTAATCAAAGTCTGCATACATGGAGTGTCGGGGGCATTACTCTGTGATTCTCCGTTTTTCTTTCAGCAGCCAGTGATCCTTCCGTCTTCACAAATCTACACAACCATTAACTCAGTGGAAGGAAGTGTTTTTGTGTCTCTGACACGTACAGTAGAAGAGAAATACAATGTTTCAATATAGCAATTGTGTCAGATGATGAAACTCCCATTGGAAAGAGGTAATCATATTTAGCCTTAATACTATCTACATTGTGTCATGCTTCTGCTGTTGATTACACTGTTGTACAGTGTATTGATATCGGCCAGAGTATTTCCATCTCTTAACTGAGTTGATTTTACATCTGTCTTGTGTGTGTGTGTGTGTGTGTGTGTGTGTGTGTGTGTGTGTGTGTGTGTGTGTGTGTGTGTGTGTGTGTGTGTGTGTACACGCGTACATGCGTGTGTGTGTGTGTGTGAAAGCCAGCTAATTCCAGACACTTCTCATAACACAGAACCAGTGATGCCCTGCCAGTTTATAGGATAGCTGTACGGATATCCACGGAGCTGTATCCTCTTTTCTCATGAGAACATAAACCCTCTTGATGTAAATTATACCAACTTTGGTTTGGTTCAGATAGCATTACATCTCATTAAGATGTCAGCTTTTCAAGACTCGCAGATTTTCAAGCACTAAGGCGTTTTGTAATTCACAAAATGTCAAAAAATCTCAAAGCAAAAATGGTAGCTTCGTTCTGACCTCGTTTTGCGATGCCGGACAGCACTGCCTGGCTTGGCCTGTTTGCTGCTGTATGTGCTCCTTGGGTTGATTGATGCACCGAGGGACTCACACAGCTGGAAAGGAGGCAGTAAACCAGAGGAGGGAACAAAGAGTAGTGGGCCACACGGGGTGCAGCAATTAAGCTGTTTTCTTGTTGTTAATTAAAAGCAAATTAGGGACTGCGACAGGAGTTGCTGTCTAGTCTTAATTGCTGGCAGCATGTCTGCCCAGCCACACCTGTTGTTGCATCTTCACTCACTCATCTTAATTTTTTTTTCTTTTTTTCCCTTCCTTAGGGACGGAGAGGAAAGACTGGGGAGCCTGGACCCAGAGGCCTGCCTGTAAGTGATACGCAGTAACAGACACATACAGTACATACTATGGTCATTATACTTAAGTCTCTCTCATTTAAAACCTTCAGTACAAAAAACAAAACACTGAAGGTTTAAGTTAAGTTTGGCTCAGATGGTACAATAAAGCAACTCTTTTGACAGGATTTTGTTTTCTCGCTTTTCTACCAGTCAGAATCAATTTCAGTTGACCCTTTATTTATTTTATTTGATCAGCAGACATGCAATATAAAACCCATCTTAAAAAGAGCAATTACACTCCTCATAGTGAAACATCTGGGTGAAGTCGAAGCATTAATTCCATGCTTAGGCTGTATTGATCTATTCAAAATACCCCTTTCTCCCATACTGCTGCAAGCAGGCTATATTATTAGCACAAACCACAAGGGGTATATTAAGGTAGCACTTGAGAATGCTTGTATTGATGAGTAGGACAAGTCTTGCCTATAAGGCCCGTTGACTCCTTGAATTATTGTTGTTTCCACAGGCGCCTAAACCAATCCCAGACACCGTTTGTGTGTTTGTTTAGTGACCCACAGATGAAAGGGCACAAACACCACGATATGTTAAAGGAGACAGCTTGTCAGACTCTTAACTGCTGTGATGTCAGCACAAACAGAAGTGTTCAGGCATCGTGTAGTTCAGATGCTTTGGGTGTCCAATTATTTTCATGCACTATTGCCCTGATTACATTCTTGATCAGGACATAGGGTTTGTCTTATTTTTCTTCATCCAGAAAGATTTGGTTTTTGCTTCTATCACAGTTATGCAATAGCTCCAATTATCTATAGTAAAATTGAGTTACTCACTGTTAAATCTCTCCCGCATCTCTCAATATGTCTCTGTGCCTCCTTAATAACTCATAAAGTTGTAGGACACAAAGTCGTAGGTGAAAAGAAAGACAGGATGCAGAAGGTGTGACATTTCTAAATGGCAATGTCCTGATGATACCCATAGCATGTGCCAGCTTTGCCTCCATCCCCTGGTATTGGCATTTATGAGTCACCTGTTCTGCTGAGGTAGATCTCAGGGGCAATATCATCTATTCAAAACACACACCAGGGCATCACTCTCTCTTGTCCATTGGCAGCAGGACAGTACTCACAGTTGAAGGGGCAGCAGTTATTTTTCAAAGTCAAATTAGCATTGCACAACAACAGGGGAGTCTGTGAAAGGTGCACAACAAAGACACACTCAAAGATAATCTATAGCCTGCTGGGGGCCAGCCATGTCTTTATGAGAGCTAACATTAGTGCAAAGGTTAGAAAATACAATACAGCAGGCCTTTGCTGTTAATAGAAATATTTTTCAAGTAAACTTGCCAGTTTGAATAAGGGCTAGGAAAGGGTTAAGATGGTTAAAGCGTGACGATGTATCATATACAGTATATACGCACACACACACACACATACACACACACACACACACAGTTGTCGGTGAAAAGAAAGACAGGATGCAGAAGGTGTGACAGAGACACCATAGATATACTGTTAATGCTACTGTATATGCTGCTGTATACTACTACTGTATACCATTGTCTTTGTGGCATGAAATCCTTTTTATCCTTTCCCTGTGTGAAAAGAATGTTACAATGCTTGCAATTGCAGGGTCCCCCAGGAACCTCTGAAGGAGCAAGTGTCAAGGTATCACTCAAAACAATATTCATCACAAAACAAAGCACTGACATGTGGCATTTAAGGTAGATTTGAGCTGTCTCCCTGTTTGATAAACCAGCCCTTACCTGCACTTCCAGGAGGGGTTGTCAAGATGACTGAGCAGTGTTCATCGTAGCAGTGCTCCAAATAGGCAAGGAGTTTAATCATCTGGGGCCATACTACAGAAACTTCATATCTTGCAGGAAGTTTCTATAGGATGCACTTTACTGTTTGGTATCCATGGTAATTAAAGGTAGGACCCGATTTAGGAAAAAAGCCATTACAGAAGATTAGTTCATAAGTCAATGTTCCTATCCTAGCTTCCTAACTTCCCAAAAACTGTGAAGCTGTTAGTAGATAGGCTACAGGCTACCTGCGGATCATGATCCTGCTGTTAGCAGAGCAGCTACAACCAGCTGTCAGTTTTCTGACAAATGCATGTAATTTTTTTTTTGCTGAAAGAGATTTTCAGAGTGAAGTGGCCATTTTTTGTATGTTTCAATGAATAATCTAATCGGTTACAAAAATTTGCGTTAGCTGCTGGGTAACAGACATAAAAGTTGATAGCTGATGTTGGATTGAGTATTTAGGATTTCCTACCCTGAGATAAGATTGGATGAAGTAAGATAAGACAGGATTCCTAAAGTTAGTTAGGATTTGCTACTGTGATACAAAATTGGGAAACATCCTATCTTATACTCCTCCGACTTAACTTAAGACTTAAGATAGGAAGTTTCTGTAATACGGCCCCTGCACAGCATTGTCTGAATAAAGATGTACTGTATACAACCAGTTGTCCCAAGAAGCCAGCCCAGACAAATCAGACATTTGTGTGACCAGAAACAGAACGCGCTCTGTCCTTGAGTGACATTTTTGTGTTTGTAGTTAAGGGTAGATCTCCCTTGCTGGAAATGGCACCTTTCAGTCAATTGTAGCCTATCCACTGTGCAAGTTAAATAGCTGTTCCCACCCTGCACCTCCTGCAGCGCAGCACAGCGTGACTCAGTGCTCATACTCCAAACAGACAGATGGCTATTAGGTACAGTGCTTTTGCAAAAAAGCGTCTGCAATCATTTTCATGAAGCCCAGGGGTGCTGTAGCTCACCAGAGGCACATGAGATATACTGTGTAAAAAAACTCTCAGATATGGACCTCTTCCAGGCCTCCCACTGTCTCTGTTGTTACCTGCTCCCTTCACAAACCCACCCCCGCCCCCCCCACCCCCTCAGCCCCCACCCACCACCCACAAAGCCTCCAGTGGCCCACTTGTGATCATGCCGAGAGTGAAAGCTATTGTGTAGTGGACAACCTCTTGACCGCAGCTGTTCATTTGATGTATAGGTGCGTCGTTTGCTGGGGTGTCAGCTCAGACTGCAGAATTCCTCCTGCTCTCTGTGCCCAGAGGAAGGAGAAGTGTCAGCTGGCCAACCTTGAAAAAGAAAGTTGTCTGTGTGAGGACATACTTATTATACCTCAAAACAAATGGGATCGCAGTAACTATACCACAGGTGGAGGCACAATGGATAGTGGATTTGTTTGGATGAAAAGTGATCATGTATTATCATGTCCTGGTAAGTCAAGTTTGAGAATAAAATGATAAATAGAGGTTACCTTGATTAAGTTTTCATGGGTTTTTCTGTAATTGCCGTCTATGTTTCAGCTTTAATGTCTCACTTGAATCGATCTCAGGATTAAAGTTTTTGTTTTAAGGCCTTTGCCTCATGCTGATGATAGGTGTTTCAATTCTGTAATACTTACATTAAATATACAAACCAGCCTTGCCCTTGCCATGAATCAGTCATGCTCCTACATTACGGATACATCTTTGCTTTATCGTTATAAATTCATGCTTACTGTGGATGACAAGAAAGCTCTCCTGTCCCAGAGAATCATTTCACATTTAAATCTGCTATAATGAAACAAATATAGCAATGCATTTAAAGGAATTTACACAACCCAACATGATAAGTGAGACAAGCTTAACCATCACAATGCCAAGACGAATGAAGTTTCCATCAGCAGTAATAATTGAAGAGCATCAAGGATTCTCCCTACTACTCAGTGGCCATCCTTGTGCATTTTTTAGCTTGGACAAAACAGATGCAAGTCAAACTAAACTGCAGCTTGTGTAACATCTGTGTGAGCTGAGCCCCCTCTCACTCTCTCAGCAGAGTGTGAATGTTTTAAAGTAAAAAAAAAAAAAGGTCTCTGCAGTGCATGATGTGCTGGGAGATAGCTTTCTCATGAATCACATCTCCATAACTGTATCTCCCACTGACAGTCTCAAACAGGCTCTGACAGAACACTGCAGATCTTGATGGATAGACAGAGAGGGACACAGACAAGCTTAATTGCAGTTTGATGACCCGGGGTGTCTCAAAGTCAACATATCACCCACAGACATCCACAGGTGGACCAGTTCCCTATCCTATACACGCTGGGCTTTCTCGTTGTGTAAATACAGTCATAATCTGGATAAATACTGGCCGTGGTGCAGTTAATCTTATTTGAAAGGTTTATTAACTTGTTACATACTCCTCTGCCAATAAATTGACTTTGAATGATCTTCCATGGAGATCCAACAAAGATAACCACTGAAATATTTTTCCATGAGCCTATGCCAGAATGCAGTGCACAGCATTTGTATAAGTGACATCCTGGGGTAATACTAACTCTCCATCAGATGTGATTTAGGTTGAATATCAGTCATAAGTGCAAATTGCCTCAGAAATGTTGAACCACTTTCTGTAGTATAAGTATAAGTTGTAGTTTACAGTTGTATTGTACTGTCAGGAAAAAGGCAAAAACAACACAGCTGCCAACAAGTTTACGTTCCAACCCATGAGTAGGTCTACTGTGTAGTTATATTTACATTAGTGAATACTTAGAACTCATGGGTCAAATCATGCTCATCCTCATCTTCATTTTGATCTCAACTACACACCTGTCAAATTTTGTGACTGCATCTTGCACAGCTGTGATGCTACTGCAGTGACAAAATCAGTCCACAGGTATAAACACCCGCAAAAATGCTCAAAAGCGCCTCTGCTATGGTTGGTGTCTCCGGGACCACATTTTGCCATGACATCACACACAAACACACACATACCAGCATCGCTGTTGCAGCTGACAGTTATATAGGTGATTTTCTGGTAAGGTTAATAATAGTGGTAAAATCATTTGGTTCCCATGTAATTGAAAAAGCTGTACAGAATTCAGTTAGTACTCAAAGTCAGTTTTGCCACTAGTCCCTCCTCCTTGCCTAAAATATTAATAGGACAATCTGTTCGTACATAGCAGCAGTCGACTGACTTAATAACAGCTCATAATTTGGACGAGGAAACAGTGACTATATCTCATTAAATGATTGGTATCGCAGCGGCTGTCGTTAGCGAGCCGACGGAATGGGGGAGGGGCTGAAACTGAATGGCAATTATTGTCTGTTAGAGTCCAGGCACTGCTAAGGAGCGCACAAATATGCTGCAACCTTTCTGAGATGTCTCTGTCTTCTCAGACAGATGTTAAACAGATGCTTCATAGTGTCTCAACACAGAGTATCTGAAGCGTGCCCTACCTAATCTTCATACTTGCCATACCAAACAATGATCTTTGATGAGCCACCTTTTCAACCCTTTTTTTTTTCTTTTGTCTTTTTTTTTTTTTAATTCTCTGTTATGTGTGACAGACAACACGTGAGCTTCATTAAATGTGTCAGGGGATGTGAAACAATTGATTTCTCCCAGTTCAGAAGCATTTGGTTAATTATTTGCCACACTTCTGCCATGTAGCTAAAATAACCCTGGTAACTCCATATATCTACAGCCCCATGACCTTTTGTAACACTAAAAAAACGAAAGCAAAAGGTCATAAGAAGGTTGGAAATACATACAGTATGCTGTGTCTTCTACTGAGGCTTCAAGAAACTGAGAAGTTCCCCAGCATATGTGTGTATAAAAGAACTCAGAGTTTTATCACAGATCTTTTTAATTATTCATTCTCTGTTTGTCTTGACCAAGGTGCAAGTACATTTGTTTTACAGTTACATTTACTTAGAGTATTCTCCACATAACTGACAGAAGGAGATCCTATTAAAAAATATTCCAAGGGCAGCAAACCAGCAGTCATAAAGTGCCATCTATTGGCAGACAGAGGAATGATTTTGACATGGAAACATGGAAAAGTGCTGCAATGCAACAGGGGCTTGAGTTTTTCATTATCCTACTAGACTCACATAAGACCATAGTCACATAAAGCAAGTGTCACATTGTCTCCTTTTTTTCTGCTTTATTACAAACTCTTGGTTTTGAGAAGACACAGTATTGTATGTTTTTTTTTCTGAATACTCATTGCCTAAGTTTCAGCTCTCTGTCTCTGTGCCCTGTCTTTGCTGTCTGTCAATGATCTGCTCTGTTCACATACAGGGGGAGAAGGGCGAGTCTGGAGTCCCAGGAGAAAAAGGAGAGAGAGGAGACCCTGTACGTATTTTCCTGCAGTGACATTTACAGTGCCATCGTGTTACAGAGTCATTAACCAAGGCCTCCTCCCATAGGGTCAGCCGGGTGACGAGGGGGCCGGCGGGATGAAAGGACAAAAAGTAAGTCACATCAATGTCAAGTGTCGTACATGATGATTCCCTCTGTTTGTGCTCCCTGGGACGCAGCCTGTGTGTATGTGTGTGGAACAGAGAAAGAGGTGTTGTAGGTAAGGAAGTTCAAAGGATATAATTAGTAACATTTCAGACACTAAACCTTTTGAGTTAGTTATCTTCTCTCAGCCTGTTTGTCCTCCAAGGCTCTTTGAAATCATCGAGCAGCAAAAAATGAATCTGGAGGATGTTATTACTTGGTTTTTGCAGTTCCTATTGTTTGTGTCCTTTGCTCCTGTAAGCACGATTGAAATCATTGCCTTGCTGTTGACACTTTGTTTCTGCGTGCTCTGTGTGCATCTTTTCTTTGGTTGTTCATGTTCATAGACTTTTGTCCCAGTGATACTGGTACATTTTGAATGGAGCTTTGTGTTGGACTATAGGACTCAGACACAGAGACAGTTGAGCAGTGTAACAAAGGCTGTTTATTGAAGAATTTAGGAAGAATGGCTCAGGGCTGAGGCTGAGGTCGCTGGGGAGCGGGACGGGATGCAGAGCAGAGGACTGGGCCGGACTGGACCATCAACACAGAGCAGGCTGGGTACCACATCTCAGCCTGGGGTTTGTAGACACAAGGAACTGGACAAGGCAAGATTCTGGCAAGCAAGCAAAGGTGAACCCGGAGCACAGGCAAACAATAGTTAGGCTGCAGTCAAAAGCAACGTGAAGAAACAGTGTGAGGAGCTGGCCTTTTAATACTGCAGGAGCTTGTTGAGAAGATGAGCTGATCTGAAACAGGTGCGCAGGTGGTTTGGCTGGAGCAGGAGTCTGGAAGGCTACCCCCAGAAAACACATACAAACACAGACAAAGACAAACCGGGGACAAACATGAAACATAAGGAAGGTGAAAACAGCAAGAACGCAAGGGAATGAAGCAAAGCCGATACCTAACAGACACTTTGTAGATGAAACCCCCGTGTGGTAGGCACACAACAAAGACCATAGTTTTACCTTACCTCTTTTATTTAATTACCTCTGTTTATCTCTTACATAACAGAATACTGTAAAAAAAAAAAAAAAAAAAAAAAAAAGAAAAGAATTCATCTTAATTTGTAATCTGGGCATGTGTCAACACACGTTTACTGCAGACAGTGCCACCATGTGGCCATTTATAATGCACTTTTACTAACATCCATGGTACCCAGATGATAAATCCTAACAGAACGGTTTCAGGGAATGGCAATGTCAGACCAAAGTCAGTAGGATTCATCCTCTGGGAACCATGAATGTACAAAGTTTCACTGCAATCAACCAATGAGTGTCCAAAGTGATGGACTGACTGACATTGCCATCCCTAAAGCGGTGCTGCTAGCATGGCTAAAAATCTCCGGAAAACATGATTGTGTTGTTGTCTTGAAATCTAAGTGTGCATGTAATTTTTTATTTCTTGTAAAGTCACCTGCCTGCCTGACTGATAGCACCCTAATGATGGCAAAGTAGCCAAAAACATTTAAATAGATAGCAATAGAATAAAACGTGGTATATTGGAGATGAGTTATTGTTTAATTAAAACCTCGTGTTCCTATGATTTTGGTATATCTCTTTGGCATTTTGATCCAGATCAGATGGGGACTAACTAAACTTTTTCTGTTATTAAAATCACAAATTTACAGGATTGTGTAGGCTAGATAAGGCACAGCATGTATTCTTGGAAAACCTTTTAGTTGTTTAGTCCACTGTATATGCGCAGGTGTTGTCCCTAGTTGTCTTGTTTTACTGAAAGCACAAAAGTTATAGCTTGTAAACTATGAATGGGAGAATGGAGGCTCCTGAATGCAATGCATTACAATTCAGAACTAAGGTTCACTGAAGCCCCCAGTACAGCCATTACAAAGGGTTTTACATGGTACAAGTGTATGCATATATAAACACACACTAATAAAGCACAATAAGTATGGGAGCATGCTATGCTTTTCAACAAGACTTCTTTGTTTTCTGTTCATGTCATGGCTCTTTTCACATCACTTGAGTTAGACAGTGTTTTCTCTGAAGTCTGGTCAAGGTATTGCCTCCTTTATTGTTGGTCCAAAACCTGTTGATGTAGCTGTTCAAGGTGATGACTTGGGTGGCGACTTGCTTTATAGAAGTAGTTTATAAAGAGCATTTTTAAGCATTTTTCTGCTGTATGTTTGTCTCTCTGTCTATCAGGCACTCATGTGCAGTAACTGATATTATGTTTGTGGTGCATTTGCAGGGTGATGTTGGCCCTCCTGGTCCTCCTGGTCCTGTGAGTACAATTTACACCTTACAGAATATTGTTCATTTTCAATTAATAGGAGATTGAGAAATCGCTAAAGAAATTATTACAGCATCACTGTTTTGTTCTTTGCCAAAAACCTAAGAAATGTTCAATTTTATGCATCAGTAAGCTGTTCACATCCTACTATATACAGTTCATAACTTTAAATTATAGAACAAGGATTTTTGTCCAAAGACAATAGTGCTGCATTAGTGGAGAAGCAGATAAAAACACAAACCCTGACGTCATGGTGGATGTCTGATGTATACTGAAGGTGACACAGAGTGGGTTGTGCTAGGACGATAGAACTCACTGCTTAGACATTTTAAAGTTAAAAACACACTGTGACAAATCAGTTTAAGATCTGCAAGGGGGCAGTAATGACTCCAACGACATGCTGCTACTATGAGAAGCTTTTTTTAAAAAAAAAAAAAAAAAAAAAAAAATGTAAGTATAAAAAGTGTCAAATGAAAACATGCTGTTGGAGCCTGTGTGTCACAGTGTGAGGAGTTTGACATTTGGATGACTCTGTCCTAATGGGTTTTGTTCAAGAGATCTGCTGCCTATTTAGCCTCTGAAGGCTTTAGACATGAGCTTGGAAACAAAGTTTGATGGCTTTCATTCTTTTACTCACTCTCATTGCTTATTAGCAGGGGATTCATATGGAAATTAGACAAGTTAATTATACAGCCAGCAAATATCACTCACTCTCCACTGGTTTCACTGGTTTCTGTCTAACCACCAGAAACCTACTCGCTTAATAAGAATAGATATCAATGTAGGCAGTTTTAATGGAGGCCCAAAACAGTGAGGTCTTGCTTTACAATTATTTTTGAATTGTTGTCTCTTTTCTGTAAAATTCATTTCAGCTGGAGGAAGATAAAGAAATGTTCCATCAGAAGTGAAATACTCAGTTGTATTCATTGTTGTGTAGTGAGGTGTGGGCCACCCAGGACACAGGAGATGTATACTATAGCACACAGCGCAGAGGAAAACATTAGTCATTTGATAAATGAGGCTGTTTGAATATTTAGTACCAGCCGCTGTCTGTGCTCTCTGCTTTCCTGTGGCAGATAATTTTGGCAGTTAAGCATTGATTTCCCTTACACAGCAGAAGCAAGGGTTCAGATCATTACCCTCCCTTCATAAACCTTCTTGTGCCTCTGTTTATTAGTAATGGGGAGGGGCAGTGGGCTTACTGGCATGCTCGGCCATCACTTCCCCCAGCACCCTTAAAGTAGCAAAACAGTCATTTCAGGTCTGAGACTGTCCTTTTTTTTATTGCTGCCAGCATTGCTTCACAATAGAGTTTTATCATCTATTAAACTGAATCTGTTATGCCAAGTTATGTGTAGTAAATGGCTCTATTCAGTATTTCACTGCTTTTGGGAAAGATTCTAGCAGAAAGTTCAGATCTGGTCACACACTGATGGCACTGCGATATTGTTCAGCATCCGAGGCAAGACAATTGACAGCAGCTGCCTTTGAGAGTGGCTGCAGGTTGGAAGTCGAAAGTTATACAGACACTCCACTGGGACAATAGGGGATTCAGTATCTTACTCAAGGTTACTTTTACGATTGTTGCTGAAGGGAGAGCGCTTCATGACAAGTTTGTTTCCATAGTCTTTAATCATAGTAACACTCTCAAAGGGCTCACAGGCACACATTAGTCAGGACCAGGAAGTTGTCCAAACTGAACAAACATATAGGTTGTGTGTCTCTACCCTCTGAAACAACCCATAGGAGCATTTCCTGAAATAGTGCCCCTACAGCAGCAAGAGTACTAGACCTTCGTTGTCATGGTTACAATAATAAGCATGCGGAGTATACGGGTGGCAGCACCCCAGACCTTCACCTTCATGATTATAATAATAAAAACGTGGTCATGTTTATGGAACAGTCACAGTTTTGTGAGGTTTAGGCACAAAAACCATTTTGTTAGGTTTAGGTTTGTCGCAGCAGGACAGTCTCATCAGGAGACAAGGACAAAACTAAAATAACCCATAAATTGAGAAAAAAAAAACAAGGGACGAAACCAATGGCAATGATATCGATGAAAGGATCATCCTTCCACTTGGATAAGACTTTCAGTTCCAGGTTTGTTTCTGTTATCTCTTGCTTCTTTTATCGTCAAAGCACCCAAGGCTAAGCTGGTTAGAAGTGCGTACGGAGGTGAACCCAACACAAAGAACCTGAGGTCATGTAGATATAATGAGACCTGATGATTATAGAGACATAGAATTAGATTTGCTTCCTATCTTTGCTCAGTTTTAATACATTTGGCCTTAAACACTGGCCTTGCTTTTAAAGCCTTTGTCCAGTTTTGCACCAACATTTTATTGTGCATCTCATACCTGGATTGTATCTAGTTGTGCCTGTGCCACCTGCTATTAATATATGCCTGCAGTGTTAACACTGCGATGTTCCACCTCTTCCTGGAGTGTGACTGGTTTTGAAGGTAATTGTGGTCCTTCTTAAAACTGCATTTTAGGGACAATTTATTTCTTTTGTTTGTTGTTCTCTGTAACTTTATGGATTAAGAAAAAAATCAGTCTTACCTGGGTGCATTTACACCTACATTTATATTTGCTCTGAAGTCCTCTGAAGTTATCATGTTGTATTCTGCTCCAAGATAATGTATGTTAATGCCAGGTCTAAATGAGGTCTTTGATTTGATGTGTAACCTGGGCAAATAATGATTTGAGGAACAAGTAGCTCTGTAGAAACACTTCGAATCCTAGTAATTGCTGCTTGAATTTAGAATTTTATGTGTCTCCTCTTCATGTGTGGTAGCTCCAGGTATCAGTCCACCTAAGCTGATCCTTCCCCTTCCATTTAATTTAATTTTGTTGTAGAAGGTTCTGCCCAGCAGCCCCATCAACCCATTCCTGAGCTTTACTGAAGCTATAAAAGAGATATGAAAATATTATACATAACAAGTGATGTATTATTTTCTAATCAAACATATGTGCAGATTAGTAAGAACAGTCAGGTGGGTCACATATATCAAGTAGAAGTTGTTACTCCTATAATGCTCATGAGAATAGAACAGCTCAGAAGAGTTTATTTTCTCTTTTTTATTTTTGCTTGCAGTAATTGCAAGATAACTAGAGTGTTTAGAGAACACTGTGTCTTTTTCATTACTTCTAGGTGATGACAGCTCACGGATTAAGACAGCTCTCTGGAACTGTAAGCAGCTGTTTATATCATCACATTTGAAATGTTTATATACGGTGTCTTATTTTCTGTGGTTCCTCTTTGAATTGTACACAAGGTACATTTCAGTCAAATTTTGAATTCGTCTGTTTTCTCGTGTTTAAGGATGAAATGAAGGAGAGGGCCCAAAAAGGAGAAAAGGGAGATCAGGTAACTATTTCTGTCTATTATTATTTCTTACTAAAGACAATTTAACCCTGGGAAACTCAGTATTAATTTTCAAACATGGCATCCAGCATTTGTCTCCACAGCATGAAGAAAACTTCCCATTTTGTATGTGACATCAACAAAAGCAACATTGACATTTGATTCGGAAAGAACAATTGAACATCACCTGCTGTTCAATGATGTTTTTGTGCTCTGCAGAGGTGAAGCACAGAATAAATTGTTGGAAAAATTATTGTTTGGACCTCAAAACAACAGATGCATCTACTTGAGGCAAACAGATTACAAAGGCCACTGATGCAGCTGTTGACCGAACATCAAAAGACTGTCAGCAACATAAACAAGAAAAATAAATAGTGTAATGTAGAGAAGTAAGAATCTGCAAAGGAAAGATTTACTGAATTAAAAAATCAAAGACATTTTTTTTTACTCCAGTCATCAAGAGGAATGGCTTACTTGACTATTTTCCTTATGCACGTCTTGAGAAATTATGGTTGTTTATCTCCTTTACTGTTTTGCAGGGAGAGAGAGGAGCTCAAGGACCGCAAGGCTTCAAGGTAACTTGTTGAAGATGTAGCATTTGCACCAAAACTTTAGCACTGATATCCACTGCCAAAAAATTAAGCCCCCCGCCCATCCCATTGTGTCTGTGAGCTGTTGACAAAAATCTTTAGTTAAAAGTTTGTTTTTCTCTTCTTTCTCACCCTTTTTAGGGAAACACTGGGCTGCCGGGACTAAAGGGAGATCAAGGACCAGAGGTGAGTCTCTGTGTTTATCTCGTGGCTGCTGTGCCATTTGCAGTTGGTCAAACAGAGATGTCTAAAAACCTGCTGAATACTGTATAAACAACAGTGAGACAATACCTTAATACACAGACAGTGTGTGACAAGAGAGCAAATATCTCATTAAATTTACTGTATCACTGTTTCTTCAGCTGGTTTTGGTGAAAGTTCTGTTTCCATGGCAATAATTATAATATCACCGACATAACAGGATATTTGTTAGTGGAATATGGAGATGAATGCAAACATATAATTGCATATCCCACAACAAAGGAGCGCTTAGTTTACATATGTATTGCAAAAGCATCACTGTAAACACACTCAGAGACTCAAACTCACTCAAGAGTATTCTTTTGAAGATAGTTCATGAACATATCATGCAATGTTCAGAATAATGCAGATTTTTGTCCCAGTCAGGAAAAGGAGTACATAAAAATAGCAGCCAGGATACTGATGCTTGTGTACTCCTTTTCTCAGTTGTTATCATTTGACATAAGCTCAGTTTCCATGGTAATATGAGGATCTTTCAAAGACAATAATGGGTCGAGAAGGGGAATGCATATAAACAGCTTATCTAGAATAACAGCATAGCCAGGATATAAGCTTGCGAACCTACTGCTGCTCAGTCATGAAGATATCCACAGAATACAGTAATTGCCATGAAACTAACCAAGGTTTATTAAAAAGGCTGCAGGGGCAACACTTAAACAATATTGCTATTTGAAATACTGTAGACAGTGTCGACAGTGTGGCTGGCCGGGCTATAACTTTCAAAGCCCAGACCATTCTGTCACCAAACAAAGGGAGAAAATAGCCCAAAGTATTGGTTTTCCTTTGTGTTTTGCCAGGGGAAACAAGGCCTGCCTGGACCCACTGGACTCCCAGGACTCCCAGGCGAGCTAGTAAGTATATTGGCACTAGACACTAGTACTTCATGTCAAGCTTTCCTTTCTCTCATTGTCACCTCGCCATATCCTCCACTCTCTAACTCAGCCTGCCAGGATGAAAGAGAGAGATGAACAGATAAACCTCAACAGGCAGAGACAGAGAGGAAGTGAGGAGAAAAGTCCAGAATTTTTACACAGACGATCAGTAATCAAATTTAAGAATTAATTAGTGGAAAGAGGCAAATCTTAGCGCTTTATGCCAGGAACGGAGGCAGCGGCCCAATCTGTTCTCCACACCTGCTTCAGTAATGAGCATCTGTCTTTATTCAAAAGCAGGGAGGGAAAAGAGGCATTTCATAAATCCTGGCTAAGGGAAATTATGTTGGAACACGGCAGCCCACTGAAGCAGTGAGGAGGAGGAGATAAATGTGTGTGAAGAGATGAAGGCCTGGTGATAGATGTGTCTCTTTTCACCACTATTTACAGGGCTCGTCAGGGGAAGCAGGGGTGCCTGGGAGAGATGGCCTGAAAGGAGAAAAGGTAGGTAAACTTCAAATCAAGTTCTCACCTCAAAGAAAAATATCAAGCTATGATGTTTTATCACAGGTTGAACATGCTAGACAACTTGTGAAGACACATTGCAGATTAGCCGCCCTGTCTGCCATCCTCAATCATGTTGTAACTTTGTGTTTTCGCAGTTGATGCCCTAGACTACTCTGTTATTTATACACAAATCTCCTCTTGCAGTCGGACTTGTTCCAAATACTGTGATGAAAGCGGCAAAGTGGAAAAGTGCACAGTTGACATATTTGATGGGGTTTGTCACTTTTGTCAAAATAAACGAAGCCGTACTCAAGTCTCCCCACCCGATGGAGTGACTCTGCTACACTCCAGGGCAGAGAAATAAATCTCAAGTGCTTAAACCTCCTACATCCACATTTATAATACTCCTTTGTCTTCTTTGCTATACTGATGTTAAGTCTGATCCGAAAGGCAGACTTTATAAATGAATCTATGAATAAATGTGAAAAAACAGAAAACATCTGTACACTGTAGACAATCAGCTTAGCTTAGCATGAAGTCTTGAAGTATGGGAAACAGCTAGCCTAGCTCTGGCTAACCACACCTCTGAAGCTCACAAACTAACACCTTATAGTTTGTTTGTTTAATAAATGTACAGACACACTGGCAGCTTTGTTGCCATCCACTAAGAAAAAAAAAAAGAACAGTAAAACACTAAAAGTGCAAGTACAAGTTTAATTGAAACATTTACTGGGGTAAATAAAAATTAGTCAAAAATTCCTCTTTTAGTTGAACATTAAAAACATTCATATGAAAGTGTGCCTATGATGACATCACTAAATGAATTTGAGGAGCAGGGAACAGAAAGAAGACACAAAGCACGGTTTGTAAGGGTCCGTGCAGGTGAGATGACAAAGCCAGTCCTTCACTTTGTCAATTGAGGAAATTCTGAATACCGACTGTCTTTCTGTCTGTAGGGGGACTCTGGTGGAGTGATGGGGCCACAGGGACCCCCAGGTCCTAAGGGTGAGCCTGGAGAACCTGCAGGTGGATATATGGTGGGTATTATATCGTGTGGAGAGTCATTTTCATCTGACAGTGTTGACTTCAACCCTTAAGTCACTAAACACAAAAGTAGAAACTGTAAGTGGAGATCGAGAAGAAAATTCAGCACTACAACAGCAGCAGACAAGGTAAAGCAAACTAGCCTCCACTCCTCCAGCTGCGTAGCTGCCGTGACATTATGGAGATGCAATGCCATTAAGTAATCCACCATTGGATAACCCCAGCCTGGGTAATCACCTATCTTCCCATTTTGGAGCTTATAGCTGTTGAAGCACTCTCTTTTATGGACATGGCTTTGCATATAGAAATGTTCATTATAGCTTCTCCAAAAAGACGGCACATGTGCCGCCAAGGCCTCATTTCTGGTTGACGCCACTTGCTCTTCTCAATCACAGGAAATCGCTCTATGGCTTTAAACAATCATGTTTGTTTGTGTGTGGAAACGCTGAACTGAACATTAAGCTTGACAGCAGACCCACTCATCAAGCAAGAGGTACTGTGTTCAGTTGAGCAGAGTAATAAGAGAAAGATTGCATTCAGGCAGAAGTATTTAAACCTCTTTAATGTACTCCAGCACTGTGGAAATTGGTGCCGGATTGGAAAAGAGGGCTATATGCGTGTGCATATAAGTGTCAAGGGGACATGTTTACAGCAAGCCAATGACCTCTTATGTCGTTACATAGTTCAAAAGCTAAACAAAGAGAGATGTCTATCGTTTAGAGAGAGTGTATTTCTGCATAGATCCTGATAGTGTTTTATGAACGTCAGTTCTGTCTGGAGGCACTGGAGGAAAATGGATTCTCCACATTTTATGGTTTTTGTTATGTAAGGCAAAGAAAAGGAGAAAAAGTAATAAACAGAACTCAATACAGATGGTCTGAGCGTCTTTAATGAGTCAACCTGCTCAAGTAGTTAATGTCACTTTATTGATTTTGCCTTTAAATGAATAATGAGCAGTTTACTCTTTGTTCTTTTGACTTTTATTATTTGCATGGATCGTGCTCTCAAGTACTAATATAAAGGTTTTGTTTCAGTAGAGTGCCTCTGCATAGTGTCTAATGGAACTGTTTTTAAAAAGAAAATGGAGTTAAAGGATCATATTATTTGTCTCAAAATGCTCTGTACTTCCCAAACTTTCCTCTGTTTTATGTTTGCGTGGATCGCCACATTTCACCCTGAAACTGTAGAAGTGCTGCGGTAGTTCAAATCCAACTTCTGCACAGCTAATTTACATTGTGCAATGTAGGACTTGTAACACTAATACATGCTGAGAACAGAAATCAATGTCTCATCTGGACTGTACAGTAAATTATGCTTACAGTAGCCTCGATTCCAATCAAGGTTTTTTCTCCGTGGTATGGCATTATCAGTCTGCCTCTGTACATAGATGCTATTTAAAATGTTGTAAACAGTATTGAATATGAGCTCATGATGCAGCGCTGTGTTCAGACAGTTTGCACTGTGAGAGTGTAGCGCGTACAGATTCAGTATTCCTGTTTAAATTCCAGCTCTAGAACAGCTTTTTGCCCTGCACCTCAGGCCACAAAGTGAATTGCTGATGAATGAATCAGTGAATCCCTATTCTGATGTCCTCTTCCTGTTGTCTTCTAGGGTGATGGGTTGGCTCAAACTAGAGGGTCTCGCGGACCCAAGGTAGGAAACACTGTGGTGGTGAAGAGTCACCAACACAACCGTTTATACTTCTATATGTTAACTTGCATCCATGCTATACTATGTATGTTAACGTCTTCAGATAGATCAGTGACTTGTATGATAACCATGTGTTTTACCCAGAGTACTGTTATAAATGTTAGGATATATTTCATCTATTTCAACCATTTATCTGCTACTTTGAGCTAACTGTTTAGACCTTTCAGTTCACTTGGTAATTAGTTTTCACACTCTCTCAATTACAACACAAACTGAATTAAACTTAGTTGGAAAAACTGCAGTCTGTCCACATAACCCCCCTGACAACCGCAGAAGTACTCCCCGGGGAGCAAGCACCCCTCTTTGGGAATCACTGGTACTTTTGAAATAGCCAAGATAGGCTTACATACTGTACTGCATATACTGTCATGGAAAAAAGGGCCTTGAACATTGTTGTGTTTCATAGCCCTAAAGCTACTAAAGGCAAAACATAAAGGGAAAATGAGTGGAGTCTGAATACTTAATGATCATGCAGTGCAGCAGCTCTCCATGATTTCTGGATTTACTATCACTGAAACCCCATGTACTGTTCCTTTGTATTTTTGTCAGGGTGAGCGAGGCGTCCCAGGATTGCCAGGAGATCACGGTGAAAAAGGTGAACCTGGAGAGAGTGTCATAGGCCCGCCTGTGAGTATGATGTCGTATTGATTGGTCTGTGGCTCCCACATTCATCATTTAGTTCAAACTGTGATACTTTCAGATTTTAGTCTTTAGGCATTGAAAGAGCGAGATCCTCTTTGAATATCAAGATCAGTGGTCATTAAATTCACTCTCAGATGAAAACGCTGGTCATTACCGGGAGGTGCTGGCGTATTGCACTCTGCCTTCATCATATATGCTCCGCACTGCTAGTTTGAACTTCACAGATTTGATTGTGAGTGAGTCTGCTTTCATTTTTGAAATACAGGATTGTTGGAGACAGAGAATCAATAGAGCAAAAGGTGTCTAACACAATTCCTTTATTGGATCCTGGGTGCTAGAGGGCAGATGGTGTTAACAAGATGTGTGATGTGTTCCTAGGGCCCCATGGGACGGCCGGGAAAGCCGGGAATTGAGGTCTGATTCCACAACACACAAACAACATGTTCAAGTTTATTTTCTCTGATTTTTCAGCTCATTGATGCTGTGGCCAGCGAGTCTTTACAATACAGATAACATTGTGCAGTGTTGTTCACCAACTGTATAAGATTGTTAAAATCATCAATGTATGGGTGTTTTTCAGGGCCCTCGTGGACCCCCAGGTTTATCTGGTCCTCCTGGAGCTCCAGGGAGAGAGGTGAGTGAAATCAGTCTATCCTTCCACTCTTATTCACTCCTTCACACATCTGCAGATAAAAGATGGCTCAAAGCATAAAACAATGTCAGCTTCCCACTGTGAGCATGAACAAGTACGATGTATCACAGCTCCTGGATACAAATCCCCACCAACTGAAATGGGTGTGAAAAGAAAGTTATAGTCTTGCATGTCTGCTTGATATCATTGCCTGGAGAATTGTTAACTCTTTTCTTTGTCTCAATTAAAGGGCACCCCTGGTAGACCAGGCCCTCCGGGCCCTGCTGGACCCCCAGGTGAACCAGTAAGTGAGAAAATCTCATTTATGCTGTCTGCAGTTCAGCATCACTGAGCTCACCTTAAAGCCACAGTCACTATTCAGCATGCTGATCCGATTTTGGGATAATTAGCTGCTAGTCCTACTGTTCGCTTACCAACATCAATTTCAGGAAAATGTTGGCGTTTACAACAACCTAGCAGCACCCTGTTGTTAGCACATGTTGTCACACCTTTCTTGTCTTTTTATGTGCTTCAAGTAAGCAACATTTACCATTGTTCTGATAGCTGATGCGTGAGCACCATAAGAGTGCTGCTGATGCTGCATCAAAGTCTTGTAAATTTTGCCTTTTAACCTATTTATATTCATATGTTGTAAAGACCCATGAAACTCATTTATAGTCCACTTTATGTTTTTGAAAAATACACAGGCTGCAATTCAAAATGTTTTTCTCAACTCCAGAGAACAACAATATTTTGAGAATGTGAGGATTCTGTCTTCTAGCAACAAAGTTATTAAACTGTTTCCTCAAGCGTTGCAGATAAAAACTGAAAATGAAACACTGACATAGAATTTTGTTAAAATGTTTGGGGTAAAATCCCATTCCTTAAAGGCACATAAGATGGTCTTATAAATTGATGTTTTGAGCAATTTACAAGATGCTGTTGCCCCAAACAAACAACAGCAAAATATTTCCAAAACAAGAAAGTTATGTTCGCTTTGAAATTAAGACTGTGGCGATGTTTCATGGATTTTTTTCCCCCTCTTTTTTCTGACAGACTGCCCTGCCAATCGTTGGAGACATGGGTGCTTTACTTAAGGTATTTTATCTTCATAGTTAATGAGAATTACATCTTTTCTGGGTTAGAATTTAAAAATGATCAGTAATTTAGAAGGGACCTTTCTTTTTATAGGATACTATCAGTTTGGAGGGACAGTAAAAGCCCTTGAGTGCCTCCATCAGGATGACTGGGAGAAGTATTTGTAGAAAACATACTCAAATAATCTCACAAGAAATCAAGGTTTACTCATTCACCACAGGTGCACAGTCGAGCCATATTGTAAAACAACATGTTTAATAAATCCTTTCAGTAAAGATGACGGTATATAGAATTACACCATGCACAGGAAATGCACCACTGCAGACACTCCAACACAGATATTGCTGTATCAGCAGATAAAGTAGATAAACCCTCTGTAGACATATTGTAGTTTCTTCTGACCACATTCATACAGAATTGCACACTAGTTTATTTCACAGTAATCACCCCTAATTTAAAAAAAAGCTTTAAGGTTTTGGTAGATGTTAATTGCTGTCAATAAGAATTTATTCCTCTTGCTTGTGGATGCTGCATGCTAGACACAAAAAGAGAGGACTTTACTCATCATATTTAATACTGAACCAAAGAGTCTTAATGGGAAGCAATGATCAAACATCAGCTTTGGAAAATGTAGTTATATCACACAATTTGTTCATCATAATTGCACTAGCTTTACAATCTTTAAGTGTCTGAGATATAGATATAACATTAACCAGTGCCAATAGAAGACAAAAACACTAAGTACATCTGGCATACATCATTAAATTTATGCAAAAGCTCAGGTTTATTGTTTTTGTGATGCCATGTTTGTTAATCATCTCAGTAAATGCAATGTGTATTTACAGTATATGTATTTGTGTACACATACAGTATATGTATGACATCAAAACATGGCCTCTATTATATTAGTTCACAGTGAGTTCGATCAACTACTATGAAACCTGGTATGCACCACTGTTTCTAACATGCTATTCCATGTATTTCAAATCCAATGCAAAACTAAAAAAGTCCAAATAAGAAAATCCTTTCAGCTCCTTTCAGCTCCCACTTCTCTCACAGCGCTCATGGTTTAATGTAATTTCCTCAGGTAGATTTCCCTTGTCACTTAAACCTTCACCCCCAAATGTTAAAGCATTTGGTCTCTTACCAAAGATTTTTACGAGTCCGGTCCCTTAAACCGCCAGGCTCGCAGCTTGTATCTTTATTTGCTCACTTTGAAACTGTGTTCCGACATGTTCATCAAACATAAAAGTCATTGCACCTATGTTTTTCATTGTTTGCTAGACAGTGTTCAAATGCAGAATTTGCACTGGCAATACAAGACCAGACCTAATTTGAGAGCACAGAGTTGAAAGACAGATCAAGTGCTTCTTTTATGGCTGTTACTTTTATAATAGGTAGATTCTATCAAAACCTTTGCAAATTACTGATTAGTTCTCTTTTTTCCAATGCCTGAAGCAGATTAGTCACCTTACATCATGTTGTTACCAGCAGGACAGCACTTAGCTAAATTAAAGTATTTTAATTTTTAATACTAAATGCACTTCAACTCTCATAATAAATAACATGTCCTCATATGACTTCTCATTGATTGATAGAAGCCAGATGCCAGAAGTGTTGTAATCTTCTGTCACTCCTTCCTTTGGTGTCAATTTAAGTGCTCTGTTAGATTAAGCCACTTTATGCAGCCTTCATTAGAGTTGCTTAGTGGCACTCTAATTGTTGCTACCTACAAAAAAAGGCTAAACACGTTCGGCTCAGGCATTTTACATTTCATTCATAAAGTTAATAATAACATACTCTCTGTAATCTCCTTATTTTCATGACAAGTATGTAGAGATTATTTTCCATTTTGTATTCCAGGCTCAGTTTCTAATTTAATTCTGCTGTTTAATGGTGCAGTGTACCTGCGTCTAGTGTCTCCCTCCAACTTAGAGCTCCCACCTTTCCTGAAAGGTGCAGTGCCTATATCAAGCCTGGATCAGGGACAATGATATTTAAGATTCTCTACTAAATGTCACAGTCAATGAGTTTGACAAAGTTCACCACTCACCTGGATGAGAGACACTCATGGTGGGTTCACATTATTTCTGCTATGTAGACATTTAGAGAGCACTTTGTGTCAGTTGGGGTCTTGTCCTCCACCCAGGGGATGTGACATAATAAAGGGCGAAAATGCAGTGCTCCAGCTCAACTTGATGAAATCTTATCTGTGCCACCACTTTTGCTTCCTGCCTTGCCTGCGTTGGCAGAATGCCTGCAGTGTGTGCCAGACGAGAGTCCCAGGGCTGCCTGGGCAGAAAGGAGAGAAGGGGTCCCCTGGAGCGCAAGGAGTAGAAGGCATGGTGGGAGAAAAGGTACAAGTAACAGCATCAGCTTGGCAGGCAATTTGGAACAGACAGTGTAAACATGTTTATCTGACTATGATACTTTTCATTACATGACACATGTTACATGTCCTATTGGGTTTGCTTATTTAATACTTTGAATGCATGTGTGCTTCATTGTGTATTTCTATCCTAAACAGGGAGATCCAGGTGTAAGAGGTCCTACGGGTAACCCTGGGAAAGAAGGCCCAAAGGTAGACAAGGAAATATCAGGCATAAATATGTTAAATACTGTAAAATACATTCTTAATGTATCTGTTTTTTGTAGATCTAAATTGATTATGCAGTTTCTCAGTAGGAACAAAGAACCTGTAAAACTAATAGCCTGATTCTGTGATATTGTTTATTGAAATGTGTGTTTAATCTAGTATATAGTAATTTACATTGACAAACGCTTTTCAGAAATTGCCTTTTGGATTATCTCTGGAAGCCTAACCATCTGTTCTACAACTCATATTATTCTGTACACTCTTATGTGCTCACTGCAGAAGTTGTTGCTATGGATACTGTGTTATACCACAGTGAAACAGGCTAGGCAATTTCAAGTCTTGTGCTGTAAGAGGAGGAGAGACATTTTGAAGTTTACACCCATCAGCCTTTAGTTTTAGGCCTTTTCATGTTTGGTGAAAAACACTCACTTCCCTCCCTCACCGGTTCTGCCTTCCTGCAGGGAGTAAAGGGAGAGAGAGGGTTCCCAGGCCCTGCAGGAGATAAAGGCGATGAGGTGAGTGAAAAAAGTTTAATCTAAACAAATTAATCCAGTAGTTACCTAACCATCTGGAAGTCACTGTGACATTGAGAGGTGGGTTTTTCAAAAGAATGTAAATATATTGTAATGTCTGCCTCATCTTTAAGTCTGTCTACTCTGAAAGTCTTTTTTCAAAAGACGCTATCAAAAGCTATCCACAGTACTGCATGTGCACTATGCCCTAGCTTTTGCATTTTGACTAGCTACTTTATAAAGAACGTAGCGTGCCCTGCATGTGTGTGTGTGCTAATTAAAAAACAAGACACTCTTTAGAGGAGCTGAGAACCATTTCATAGGTCAACTTTCAGCACTGAACTGAAATGACAGGAGATTTTCATTAACAAGCACCTTGTTACTAGATTGTACAGGCTCAATAAAAGCATGTTTTATAGCTCAGTTTAAGTTTTTTTTTTTTTTCCTTTTAGTGATGAAATAAATCATTGAGGAAAACACATGCAATGCCATTCCTAAAATGCAATACAACAGTACAGAAATGCCTTATCCAAACAAATGAAAACAGATGCTGTAAAAAAAAAAAAAAAAACGCCCCACCATAGACCATTGAATGTTTCGCCACTTCTGCACATTCAAAGGTGCTGTAGAGATAAAACAAATATTAACATGCATATCCCAGCAGCCATTGCAGCGGATAGAAAAGTCTTCTGATTCACCCTCTACACTGTAGTTTGTGAGCTCTAATGTGGTGTATTTTTTCATCTGTGATTGCTGTTGCTAATGGATTCCTGGAAAACCTTTCCAGGCAACAAGAGCACAGGCAGACCAACACATTACACAGTACCTTACTCCTTAGGTAGAGAGTATCTGTTTAATGTGCAGTGAGCAGCCAGTTATTTGGCCGGGCGTGAGATTCGGGCTGCTCGGTGTTCACATTGAAGTAATGTAACATCTTATCTTTTCAACATCCTATTTCTGAGTAGAGCCAAGAGGGTTTACTGGAAGTCCAGTGTTGCTGTAAAATGTGAATGTAAATATTCTTTTTCAAGAGAAATTACTTAAAAAACTGTAATCCACTTTGTCTCCTCCAGGGACCCACAGGAGTACCAGGACTTCCTGGTGTGACTGGTCGTACAGGGGCCGCGGTAAGAAACCTGTCCTTTACGTGGCCTGATATTGTACAGAAACTCATAACACAAAGTAGTTTTTCATGGTAACAGGTCTATTTTATCGCAACATGTGTGAAGTTTTTATCTGAGGTTTGTGCTCAGATCTGATTTCATTGCAAGGATGCTGTTCTGTTTGCAGGGGCTTATGGGTAGACCTGGTCCCATGGGCCAACCAGGAGGAAAAGGAGAAAAAGTAAGGTGTTTTACCAATTAAGCATTTATATATCTATATATATATATAGATATATAGATATATAATGCAGCTAGTGTGTATATATTCCTGGGTTTTATACACAGTATACAATGGATGAATGTGCACACTATGACTTACTTAAAACTCAAGTATTCAGATATTTGTAGTTGGGTACTGTAGTGCATAGCCTGTAATAAATTAATGTAACTGATTGTGAGTATAAATAACATGTTTTCCCTTAAAAAGTGGTTTCTTCAGAAATCTAAAAGATAGATACAAGGCAAAGTGAAAAACTAGATGACTCTAGCTCCTATGATAAAGGTTTTGTTTCCTAACCATATTAAAGATAATAATTTAACAAATAATGTAACAGTAACAAATCATTTCAAACTTTTTATTGTTGCTGTATACATCAAAGTCTAGGAAACAAGAACCCTTGAATCTTTGATTTTTTTTGTCAGCGATTGCAAATGAGGTTCCATATCGTCGGATTACATTAGCATGGGATGGTGCTTAGTAAAGATTTGCATTTTCACAGACGTGTTTAAGAATTCCTCTGGTTTGTGTTTTGCAGGGAAATGAAGGACCCCCAGGCAGACCAGGGCTTCCAGGGCCTCCGGTAAGTTCCTTGTGCTTCAACAAGAGCCAGTTGCTGATAACGAGCCTCAGTTAGGGTCATAGATTCTGTGTGGCCCTCATAAACACGCTAAAATACAAATACACTCCTTTCATTCTGTTTTTTAAAAAATCGAATGTTACAGGCTTAAACTCATCTATTCAACCAACTTAGTGCATTGAAAACATTTTAACATGACTTTTATCTTGCTTTTATCAGCACTTCAAAAATCTTCTTTTCCCATGTTCATGTGAAGGTCAGAGCGAGAACCTTGCCTTGGCATTTCCTGCTACAGAAATTGGCATCAGTGCACTTACATTTTTCTCAGTCTGACAGTGTTTAGTGTTACAAGAAAAACATAACTGACATACAAGTAAAGATGTGATGAAAATTGTAGCGACCTGCGCACTGGCATTGAATCATGCCCCCCCCCCTTAAAAGGCCAGTGAGTAAGCACTTCCAAAGGCAAATCTATAATTCATCAGCCGTCCCCTTGAACCTGCCGTGCCCCCCCACACACACACACACACCGTGGTCTCATAAACTGCAGTCTAGGAGGACAGGGGATGGCTCAGTGGCCTGAAAAGGGCACAGGCATCCACTTGCTTCTAAATGAGAATCTTGACTCCTTCTACATTTACAATAGCTGCCCTCTACCAATGTATCATGAGAAAAACATTCTTTTACAGTCTAATACCCAAGAAGTCTAGATTACCTAGTCTAGTTCTCATAGCCAAATCTCTTTTAATCAGTGTGCTCCTTTGTATTTCTGAGACACTCTCGTTTTTTTTGAATTACCATTGGCTCAAGGATTATCAAGACAAGTCTACTGTTCTCAGTTTTTTCTGTTCTTTTCACTTCTCACTCTCTCGCACTTCCTTCTCTCCCTTTGTGTAATCACCAAATGAGCTATTGATCTCTCTCATGTAGCTTTTAAGGGCTTAACACTGTATAACTGCTCCAGACCTACTGTACAGTTTTCTGTAAAGACTCTTGGTGCCTAAAACTTACAGAACAGTGAGAGCAGTCTCTGAGAGGACATGTCTGATTTACTGCTGATTGTGTTTTAGGGTGTACCCTATGTGGAGGGCAACGGGATGAGTAGTCTGTACAAGCTGCAGGTAAAGACTTTTCAAATGATAGTGATAATGTCATTGTGATCCATTGAATGCATGGTGCAGTGCCTTCAGTCATACCCGTGAAACTAATCTGTGCTTGTGGTTAAAATGTGTTTGACCCTTATTGTAAAATATGTAGTAATAACGTAAAGAAATGTCATTTCAGAGTGGTGGAGCTATTTTAGGACCCCCTGGAGCTCCTGGTGCTCCGGTAAGAATAATCACTGTTAAGCCTGAAGCAAATCCTCTACAGTGCGCTGTGGAGAAACACTAGCACATAGATATGTTGATACTGTATGATCCGCAGAACCTGGGAGAGCTGAATAACAAATAACCTAACCAGCCCTCCAGTGTTATCTCAGCTTCTGAGGCCCTTATATCACAGTCAATCATGTTCATTGAGAGCTGGTGGTCGGTGAAGGCCAAGAGGCTTCCTGACTTTCAAACAGGTGTCTCTGACCCGCCCCAGGACACACAACATCAATGATATGCAAAATGGTCTTAGAAGTTCAGCTGCTCTGCACAGTGCAAAGCCGAGGCGACCCGATTTGCTTATCAGCTCCCCGTGCTCCTCCTTATCAGACAGTTTGTAATCTTGTCCAGTCCTGGGAGACATTCACTCACAGGCCCTGCAGGGATCCATCCACCTCAACGAACACTTAAGGTGGTGACAATAAATAGACACTCCAATATCCCCGGTGCACAATGCACATGAACCACAGCTAAATCTTGAGGATGCTTCTCCCTGTACTGCATCCATCACAGCCCAACAGCTCAATCAATAAGAGAGCATCTTAATCAGGGACAAGGGGCCCACTTTTTCAATACTTCCTTGTTTTTTCAATGTGGGAAAATGCTGAAATGCTGAAAATGTAAAAATGCATATCCAGAGTTTGTAAAGCTTGTGTGATAACCGGATATTTTTAATCTAGCCTGAGAAAAGGCCACAGTTACATAGATTGAATGTAAGATTTACAGACAGAAATTGTGAGGCAATGATGCAAACTATTAATTTTAATGACAATAACTTACAGTAGCCACATGTCATTTCAGACTGTATTTATGATTTTTATGGTAACAGTTGTCACATTCATGGGAGTAATCTGTCCTTTCTCCCCCTCTTTTTTAAGGGTCCCAAAGGAGATGAAGGACCTGCAGTGAGTTGAAGCTTTTCATTCTGGAATATATTTTTATGAAATATTTGTCTATTTTTGTGCTGCCGAAAAAATAGAGAAGTCAGAGTTGTCAGTTGCTTTCCATCACTGTCTCCGTGGTTCTCTCCAACACAGTCAATACACCCTCAAGCCTGAGCACTTAACCACTCTCAGTAGAACTCCAGCACACAGCAAAAAATGATCACATCTCCAGCAAATATGAAACTGTTGTACCATATTGTCTTGCCAGTGGGAACCTATGAACCCTCCTTGCACTTCAAATGCCCACCCTCCCTCCCCCCAAACTGACGGCTGAAAACAATCCACACAGACGTGGAAACAATTTGACGCATCGACTCGAATTCTTTATTCTCACAGGGCCAATTGCATTTTTTATTGTTTTGTTGCACAGTGATTTTTCACCAGGATGTTAATTTGACATTTTAATAAATTGTGTGAGTGGCTCCAGTGCTGTGGTGGAATTGCCCCAATCCGTCTCACAGCTGATCCTCTGGCTGGCCCACTCTCCCCTTAGCCATACTCGCTTATTCATGACAATCTACATGTGTGACAATTACCTGCACAATCCGTCTATGTCAGCACCAGTTGCCCCTCTATTCAGTGTAATGGCATTTCTCCATGGCAGCTTGAGCAAGATGTGGTAGATAGAGGCCATCATTTGCTCGAGCACAGGGAATGGGTCTCTATTTATAGTGCAGAAAGCGACTAAGATTGTGACTGTCAAATGGGGCTCTTTTTCTATCCCATCTATAGTCTACAAGGTGTGACGGCATCTGTCATAGATCATGTAATATAATACACTCAGGTCGAAGTATTGTCCTCTTAGGATTATCCTCATATTGACACATGAAGGGTTGTATTAACTGGCCGAGAATATCAAGAGGAGCGAGGACGATGTGTTAAATCTTGGCTCCTGCAGAATTTCATTTACTTGCCTTCATGTAGCTTTGATCCATATTTGCTTGTTTATGCCTAATGTTTACTTACAGTCTCATAATAATGTCCTTTGCCAAGCTCACCCTCCAAAAATAGCATCATTCCTTGTTGCGAAAATAGGAAAGTAACAACCCCAGTTTTTATCAGTAGTGACTTTTTTTTTTTTTGAGCAAGTGTTGTGTGCTTCTCTCTCAGGGGGAGCAAGGGGCCATGGGTTTACCCGGGCTGGAAGGGCTACCTGGTGCCAAGGTAAGTGACAGTATCGGCACAGAGAGGTTTCTCATCTGCCATCACCTAACCTGATTAGAAAGTGAAGGAAAGTGTTTTCTCTCTACTTCATTCTCATTACAGAACATATTATGTGTAATTTTCTGAAATGAGACATCCAGCTGAAAATAACTCTAAATAAAAGGCTTGCCAGTGTGAAAGTGAAACACATTATGGGTTCCTGTTGAAGTCATGAGTCACCTTAAGGGAAAATAATTATGTTAAAAAGAATTCAATCACTTCTTTTTTGAAACACTGACTGAACTAATTTCAGGTGGAAATTTTTGAAACTTGAAATGCAGTAATACCACGGCAGTTTGAAGCTAAAGTGTTTATGTAATAGTTAACCATCCGCACAATGAACTGCTACTATTGGACGCATTTATGTTAATGATACAAAACTAGCCCTGCATGCAACTTCTCACAGCGTCCTGTACCTAAATCTGTATGAAACAGCTGATGTGTGTGTGTCTGTTATACGATCAAAGGTGTGACATATACAAAGGTTATTTAGTTTAATTTAGTGTAGCTTAACTTTGTAAGGAGGTTGTTATCTACATTTCAGATTTTTCTGAGTAAACAGCGTATAGTGTTTTGAAGTGTTTTAGCTTTTTATCATTGCATTTGTTAGAAACACTGAGGTGCCCAGGAGCATTCATTATACCCAGGTTTAGGCAGTTTCTGATATCACTATAAATGTGTCCGCTTCACATGACAGTGATTTATGTGTATTCTTCATGTGTATGCCTTCTAACTGACACATGTTGTTGGGTTTCTTTCAGGGCGATATTGGTTTTCCTGGTCCATCCGGGATAGCAGGTCCTCAAGTAAGTGAGTTTAGTTTTTTTTTTTTTTTTTTGGGGGGGGGGGGGGGGGGGGGGGGGGGTTTCTTGATTAATTTACCTTGACTCATGCTCCTCCTTGATCAGTTGATCAGTCTGTGTTGTTTAAGTCTGCTGCTGGCAACAAGTCGATGATGTTTCATGAAGCACTCAGAATAGCAGCTATCAAAACAAAAGTGCCATAACACCACACTACTTCCTTTAAGAGCTCGGATATAGACCTGTGGTATGTACAGTGGATTTTCTGTGGAGCTATAGTAGCAGCTGGTTGCTATAAAATAAATGGGAGGTTGCAGAGGTGCAGTAGATATGACACCATTGAGGACCTGTCAAACACGGTCTGTTCTCTTCCTGTGTTTGTGATTGACAGGGGAAGCCCGGCACTCGTGGAGAGCCAGGGATCCCAGGAGAGCCGGTGAGATGCAGCATCTAACTCTCTTTGAGCTGTCAATCCACGCGTCATTCCTTTGTCACTGCCGACTGACACATCGGCTGTCTCTGTTCTCTGACAGGGTGAGAGGGGGCCGCTTGGAGAGACAGGATTCCCAGGGCCCGAGGGACCCCAAGGTGTTGCTGTAAGGATGCTACATGAAATCTGTTGCTCTTCGCTTTATAATCACAAGTAGATGATGCCAAAGAACATTCCAGTAATGTCCAGGTTGGAAATATGGCTTCGAATAACACACTGTTCCTTCACTGTATATCAGCAGGTTGTTTTACCATTACGCGGGGAAAAAAGAACATGATTCAAGGACAATATGGATAAAATATATATATATATATATTTATATATAGATGATTACATTCTTCTATGTAATTACCATCAGAGATGGTTTCTGTAATTTTCCCTGTAAGCGCACAATGGAACAGTGTTCGCACAGCAATCAGGATCATTATCCCTTGGTTGAGATATCTCATTAACTGTGGAGATTACTAGGAGTGCAACAGTGCTGATCCAATCGAAGGTGGGAGCTGATACAAAATGTCTTTGTTTGTGTTGCGCTCCTTGAGCAGGGCAGACCTGGAAAAGACGGAACTCCTGGATACAAGGTGAGTTGTGCGAACACGCTGCAAATCCCCTTATAGAAAGTGCTTTACATCAGCCGAGCTACAGAAAGATGGCACAGCAGATTTTTATTCTCACCACCACCCCCCACCCCACCCCCACCCCCCCATGCAAACATCTGCTTAGGTGGTCACCTCTGCTCCATGTTGACTCTTACACATCTCCCACAGTTCCATCCAAAGCTTTTAATTTACAGTGGAAACCCTGACACTGGGCGGGTTTTAATTATTGGAGATGCAATCATTAGATTTGTAAAGCTCCCTGGTGCTTTC